ACCCAAAGTTTAAGACCAGGCTTATAAACATGGTTCTGTTCTTCAGTTCTAGTTAAGAAGACAGAGCTACACATCCTCACCATGGTTGACTGGATGATGTCTCTTAAATCTCTTTGCCTCTTAACCATCAGCATCTCTGTGTCTTGGATGGCTTTAAGAAAGGTGAAGTACTGAGGACTGAAATACAGCAAATTATATTCCATGCTCATATGATTATGTCAAAATGAACCCAATATTACATATAACTATAATGCACTAATAAAAACATAAAGAAAGGAAAAAGAAAAAGAGATACAATGGCTAAGTCTGTCTGCCTCAGATTAGAATGGCAACTGTAGATACAGAGATATATAATCCTTAGGAATCCTCTTGCCAGCACAACACAAAAATCTCCACAAGATAAAAGCATGCCTCTGTAAGAATGTCCCTTCAGCACAGCCCTTACTGCAACATAATCTCTGAAAATTGGTCAATGTCCTCATCACTTATGCAGTCACAGTTCTCTAAGACATATTTTGTGTCAGTGGGTGAGGGGGTGGCTAGTGCTGGGGATCAAACCCAGAGTCTCACAGATGATAAGTGCATGCTCTACCACTGATTTACAACCCAACCCAAATTTTTTAAAGATCTGCAGTACCAAGTGGAAAATATAGACAGTAGGTACCAATAATCATTATATAAGGAATCAAAGGAAACTAGTATGGAATTGTAAACTTATAATTTTTTTCAGTTAAAAAACTTAATATTGGGAAAAATTAGGTGTTTGTTCAAAAATTCTTCCCTAAATTAATTTAATTTTAATATCTTAGAAATATTTATATTATTTTGATTGAACAAAAAAAATAATATTTTTCTTACTTTAACAACAACAACATCAACAAACAACCAGGTCTGTGACTTTGTCCTTATTATTATCCAAGTCTGCTCTGAAGGGTAAGAATTGATTCTGTTCATCTGTTGTGACTGTTCTTCTTTCTTCCCCTAACATCTTCCTCAGAAATGTATATAAATTATCCTCTTGTACTTCTAATAATTTTTCTTCGTAAAATTTTTTACTTTATATTAGAGTGTGACAAGGATGTTTCTTCTTCATGTAAGCCAGACAAATTTCTCCTTTTGTTTGATTTGTTTTAAATTCTTTGTTGGTAAAATTCAATTTCCAGAGTAAAACTACAAATGAGGACAAATAAACTCAGGGTGAAGCAGATCATTATAAGCTGTTTTATTTGATGGCCCCAAACCACGTAAAGGTACTATTAAGTTATCTAGAAGGTACAGCCCACAACTCTTACAAGAAAAACACCAGTCACCAATCCTGGAAACAAAGTTTAAACAAGGCATCGGCCGCTATTTTCTGCTTTCACTTTAGAGTGAAAGCTAGGAGTGGTGGTCACAGTGTAATCCCCGCAGTTCAGGAAACTGAGGCAGGAGGATCTCATGTTTAAGGTCAGCCTCATCAACTTAGGAGACCCTGTCTCAAAATAAAATGGATTGGGGATGTAGCTCAATAGTAGAGCACCCCTGGATTCAATCTCCAGTACAGAAAAAAAAAAAACCCAACACCCCTGCAAGTCCTAAACCTTAAAATAAGAACATATACAATAAATTTAAACAAAAGAAGTGATTCTTAAAATATCCAAAGAAAAAAGAATATACAGGGGGAAGATTAAGAAATCAACCCAGTGTTTTATCTAAAAATACTATCTATGAGTTGAAGCCACTCTTTAATTAGTTGAATGTGGGGAATTTGAGTAGTTGCCTCAATGCCCATTTGTTCTGGGTAGCTTCTGCCTGAGGTTCAGATTCTCTTAAGTATCCATTTCTAGAATGGTCTTCTCATTTACCAAGAAGAGAACATTTCACAATTATCTAACCTGCAAATTTTAGCAGCATGGTATTTTTTGTATCAGCAAAGATAAGATGAAACAGGTGTCATCAAGCATCTGATAAGTTTCTAAGGAACTAAAATATACATATTTCTATAGAGATATAAAAAGCTAGTCTAAAATTAACTAAAGGCATAGAATTTACCCTGTGATTAATTCACTGAAGTCAATATGTAAAAAATGTGTACGTTAGGGAATATGTTTCTATGTGAAGGAGATCATTATGTAATCAAGAAACTGTAAAAACAAAAACAAAACAGAGAGAGAAAAAAAAATACTTAGCAAAAGTAGTTCAATGCCCTACTCATCATAGCAAGATTAACACACAGATATCTAAAAACAAACTATAGACCCAAAAGATTTAGGTATATCACATTCAGTTTTGTTTCAGTATCTCTGAAAACTAATTACATGAAAAAAATGATAAATTACCAGGTTAGAGAAAGAGCTGCCACTGAAATAGAAGGACTGCCATAAAATAAGCCACAAAACAGTTAAAAAGACAATACATGACATCATATAACATGTTGGAAAGTAAGACAAAATAAGAAAGCCCAAGGAAGGAGACCCCACACAGGCATCAAACTCCAAGATAAGCATCTTCCTCATAAACAGTGGACTCCAAAGCATGGGTCCACAATGAGATAAGCACTTCCTGTTTCAGATGCAATTATAAAACATATTAGACTCCTTATTATTTATTTGTGTGTGTGTGTGTGTGTATGTGTGTACGTTTGCAGTGCTAGGGATAGAATCTAGGGCCTCACACATACTAGGCAAGCACTCTACCACACAGTTTCAACCACACCCATTTTATTTTATTTTAAGACATGGTCTTGCTAAGTTGCTCAGGCTGGCTTTGAACTTATGATTCTCTTGCCTCAGTCTCCTACACACCTGGGATTGCAGGCATTCACCACCACACCCATCTAGAGTCTTTTTAATATAAGAAACTAAAATAAAAATTTCTCATAAAGAATTCACATTATTTACCCTCATTTTGTTAAACATCAGTAGGAAAGTAATTCTGTTACTAGTGATCCTGTTAGATAAAGCAGATATAGGTTCTACAACAAAACATTATTTACTCAAAAAATGTGTTAGACAATATGTACTTCTCATTCAAAAAGGATTCAAACCACTTGAGAGGTAACTGAAGAAAGAATTATTCATAAAATTCCAATTCCTTATCTATGGACCATCTTAGTCAATGCTAAAGAAAGTGGCACACACATTTCATTGTTTTTGGTCATCTCTCAGAAAGGAACCATGGCTTTCTGGAGGAAAAATTGGCCTAGAAAAAATAATACTAAAACTTAGCCACCAAAAAGTCCCTTTGCTATGCAAAAGATCCACGCTTTCATGTAAAGGCCCAATGCCATAGAGCAATATTCAGAAACTTCTAGGAGGTATAGTAGATCTGATAAAAATATAGGTAAACTAATAGCAAAGGCCTAATTTCTTTCTTAAAAAAATAAATTTAAGAATTTTTTTTTTTTTTTTGCAACAGAGAGAAACTATGGAAACAACAAAACACGGAACTATTTCTTTGTTATGGAAGGCTATTTTACACAGAGCTAAAATGGTTACATGATAAATATGGAGTATTGCCTTAGACTCCATACTGAATCTGCCAACTTAAAAACATTGTAGCATTCTGGCAACATGTATTCCAGACAGCTAGTCACTTGACAATAACACATTAATAACATGGTAATTTAAGAACATTTCAGAAGCCCAACAAGACCTACTCTTTCAACCTATATATTTCAGGTTAAAATATATAACATTTCCAGAATTTTAAACGATAATTCCAGATCAGCCTGAACTGTTAGTACTCTCACAATGAGACTATCAAAAATGCATGTTTAAGTTATCCATCACAATATCCCATTCAATGCAGGGAAGCCAGGAGCTAGATTGCCCATTTCTGCGTTGTTTCCAGGGGACATCCATATTTGCCAAGTTAAAGCAGAGAAACAAAAATGAGTCTTCTAAAGAAAGTGTCCACATTAAAAATTAAGGTATAGCCCTGGATGTGGACAGCTCAATAAGCTACAAGGTACAACTCCCTCACTAAGAAATCAGAAAGCTAAGAAAATAAACAAACTTCACTAGCTTTGAAACTTGGCGGTGACAGGGGTGGGGAGGGTTGAGGGGAGGGAGGCGCAGGCACAGGCAGAAGCTTTGGTTTTTTTCAAAAGTGACCTTCACAAATCAGTTCTGTGATAGTTCCCATTTTCTTTTGCAGTTTAAGCCTCAATCAGATCAGCAGTCTTCAGGGATTTTGAAATCACTATAGATTAAAATCCTCTCTGACTCAACTGTTTCACTAACACTGAGTGAGTATTTAATAATTCTACTTGTGAGAGACTTTTTGGACAAAAATCCTGATGCATGTTATCTTCAGATGTCCCACAGCTGCACAACAGTGCAAAGCAAACTACTTAGTTGCTTCACCACTCACGGGAGAGACGCGGAAATATATTACTAATAATTCAACTATTTAGCAGGCTTCACTGAAAGCATTTTTTATAATACTAAGGCAGCAACTATCACCTACAAAGGCAAAAGGCTCCTGCCAGGTACTAATGATCCATTCTCACAGACTGAGTCCAAGGATAGGACATTAATAACTGTGATAGATAGGCTAGAGTAAAGTTAATGAATTTCTTAACTTTATGCTTCCAATAATAAAACTACTCAAGCTTTAGTATTTGGACTCTCCCGACATCCACAGATCAGGCACTCTGATACTCAACAGGTTGAGTAAATTGAATCCATATATTGTATTTACGTTCTCTGTCAAGGTTGCTTCTCTACATTTCAGTGATCAAAGGCAAAACAGTCATCAACCCTGTAGCCTTCAATACTATGTTCATTACATTTAATCAAGTGCCAACTCCAACGTATTATTTACCAACCTTAAGAAAGTTCAAATGCATGGCGCTGTTTAGTAACAAATACAGGAAAGGAACTGAATTAATACACAGACAATCCCACCAAAAAAGAAAACCAACCAAGGCAAATGAATATCATCCTCTACATTGTGCAAGGAAATAAATTTAAAATGCATAAAAAAGTCCAGTAAACATGTGTGAGGAGGTTTTCTACCTGAGGCAGCATCAATCACTGTGGAAACTCCCCTTCGATCAGAGACTGGGCGGGATGACCCTGGCATGCTGACTGGGTCAGAGCGGACTGGCTGGATCCTGCAACACAATTTAATTTAAATCACATATGTTACTGGCATGAACACTATTGCTTGCTACAACAGACCTTAAATCAGGAATGCTGAAATAGCTCAATCCATTAGAGAATCCTTCATTCTAAATCCAGACAAAATGGGAGTTGGAGTCCCTAAGTCTTGTACACAGCCAAACTATATTCCTCCACTCCAACACCCTTTCTAACTCATTTTTGTGTGTTACTCAACAGATTTTTAAATAAGGGATTTTTTAAAAAAATGATATTAAAGTGACAGAAAGAGTAGAATGGGACAGGGAACAAAATACTTTATAATGAAATCTTTGGCTTTCACAAGGGACACATATGAAGAGCTCCAAGACTCTTCAAATTCATTAATGAAATCATAGCTAGTAATGAGTTCCATAAAAGGCAGCAATGCATGATTCAAAATTTTAAGAAACTTCCTTATAATTATCAACAAAACACAGGATAACAAAGCTGTGTTGTGAGTGCAGGGGTCTAATTTAGGACCAGTACTAACCAAGTAACTTCCATAAAATTCCCAATTAATATACAAGAATTAATTGGGACCACAGCAAAATGGCAATTTATTACAAAAAGTAGTGTAAGAATAATGAATGTTTAAACACCAAGGGAAGTTTTCTAGCTACATCAGAATAAATATTATTAACATATAAATATCTGGAGTTGGGATATCCAGGTCCTGAGTCTGATAGTGAACAAGGTTATAAAACAAACAAAAAAAAAACCTAATGCCCTTTAATAGATGAATGGATAAAAAAAAATGTGGCATATATACACAATGGAATAAAAGAGAATAAAATCATGGCATTTGCAGGTAAATGGATGGAGTTAGAAAAGATAATGCTAAGTGAGGTTAGCCAATCCTAAAAAACCAAATGCTGAATGTTTTCTCTAATATAAGGAGGCTGATTCATACTGAGGTAGGGAGAGGGAGCATGGGAGGAATAGATGAACTCTAGATAGGGCAGAGGAGTAGGAGGGGGAAGGAGGGGCATGGAGTTAAAAATGATGGTGGAATGTGATGAACATTATTATCCAAAGTACATGTATGTACTTTGTGTGAATGAATATACTTTGTATAAAACCAGAGATATGAAAAATTGTGCTCTATATGTGTAATAAGAATTGTAATGCATTCTTCTGTCATATATAAATAAAAAAATTAAAAGAAAAAAATTTTAAAAAGGTCTTGGGAGTTCAAGGAAACTTTTACATGTATTTCTGGTAATTCATTCATAAATGGCTATTTACTGAATATTGACTGCATGTCACCATTATTTTAGGAAGAAGTAGGGAAAAAATGAAACACAAGGTCTATATGTGGATATATGACATAGCACATGAACATTAATGAATTGATGTTAAAGAAATTGAATTAGAAAATAACATTAAAAAAGTTCAGAATGAGAAGGGAGAATATGCATCATTTAGTATGTACAGATCAATGATCAACTGCATGTATAACAGTGGTTAGGTAAGAGCATACTGCATAACTCTCTTGGTTTGTGTTACTACACAATATGATATCAGTAATGACAAAATAAGCTAGCAAATAATTTCTCATTAAGTAATACATAACCGTATATGCAGACTCTACAGAAATGGATCTGTATATAGTATGCTTACTCCTCCGTATCCATGGTTTCAGTATCTTGGATTTAACCAACCATGGACCAAAAGTATTCAAGAAAAAAAAAAAAAAGCAAAAAACCAAAACTGTTATCTGTACTAAACATGTACAGACTTTTTCTTGTCATTGTTCCCTAAACAATATTGGGTAACTATTATTTACATAGCATTTACATCATATAAGGGTTTCTCATAACAGAGTGATGATTTAAAGAGAGGATATGCATAGGTTATATGCAAATACTATACCACAATAAAAGGGACTTGAGCATTCTTAGATTGTGGCATCCTCAGGGATTCCTAGAACCAATTTCCAGTGGATACCATGGGATAGTTATAATAAGATATGTAGAGATGAAGAGGAGAAAGAAGTGTCTTTGAAGCACAAGACTAGAACAGGCAGAGCCTTAGAATTTTAACAAAGTAGGAAAAATGCATGCATTCTTGATGTACAGGATTTGGCTGAAAAAAGAGTTCATAACATTATTATTGGTGGGGGATAAGAAGTGATGATAAAAACACGAAACAGATTCCAGAAGCTTGAAATGCCAATTGCAGATAAAGAAATCAGTTATTGAAAATAAAGTTTGAAAGTATGTGTGTTTGTTGTGGTACAGGTCTTGGACACAGCTATGGAAGAACATCTAGCATTCCACTGCAGCTAATTTTTCTAAGGCAGTCATGGTAACCCCTCCTATCTTGGCAGTAATCACTTAGTTCTGGGATGTGCAAGCCTAAGCAAATATGGCCCAGTAACAAAAAGATAGCATATTTGAAGTTTCTTGTTCTTGAGAACAACAAGAAGCTAGCTTGTCAAAGATAGTCAGTTCATCCACAGTAAAGGCCCCATCCAATCTAAACACTTTCTTATTTGGAATAATTCATTTTCTATTATTTATTAAGCTTATATTAGGGTTTCTGAATAATCCAGAGTTGGGGACAGGTATAGATTGGCCATGAATTAATGTGTTACAGCGGGGCAACAAATACATAGGTCTTTTTTTCTATCTCTTTATTTTATGTATATTTACACTTTTCCATAATTAAAAAAGATAAACTGGTTATGATTATAGAAACATTCTGGAATTCAATAGTGGAGATGGATGCACACAATGGTGAATATTCTAAACACTGCTGTGCACTTTATGCATGGGGGGGTGCTAGGGATTGAACCCGAGGCCTTGTGCATGCTGGGCATGTGCTCGAGAATGGAGCTATACCTCCACCAACAGTACCGTACACTTAAAATTGGTGAATTTTATGTTATGTGAATTATATACCAATTAAAATAAAATGATTGTTACCAATCTTTGAGGAGATAGGCGTGAGTAGAAAGGGTGATTCTGAATACTCAGCTTCATTTACATTATGTTTTTTAGGTCAATCAACAAGTATATCATTAAATTTTTTACATTTTGGATCCTTGCTGTGGATAAGGAACTGCCATGAGGTTAAACTTTATCTGATTTCTTTATGAGAGTCAACATATTGTTTATCTACTTCCTACTGGGAGATGTAGGCAGGCAGACTATGACTGTACAACATATTTATGATATCTTTTTTTGTTTTTGAGAGATAGAGAATTTTATAATATTTATTTTTTAGTTTTCGGTGGACACAACATCTTTATTTTATTTTTATGTGGTGCTGAGGATCGAACCCAGAGCCCCACGCATGCCAGGCGAGCGCGCTACTGCTTAAGCACATCCTCAGCCCAATTTATGATATATTAATGGAGTACAGGGACAGTGTAATAGGTACTAAGGATCAACTGATACAAAAAAAATTTAGTAAAATTCTTCACAGTTTAAAGGAGAACGGAAGACTGATGCCCAGCCATAGTGCCATTGTGTATAAGTCTGAAAAATGTAGATGTACCACAGGTGAAGCACTGGACTAGAAGAGAGTAAGCAACAACGAGGAGAATTTGTTTTATTTTATTGTATTGTACTAGGGATTGAACTCAGGGATGCTTTGCCTCTGAGCTACACCCTGAGCCCTTTTTATTTTTAATTTTTACTTTGAGGAAGGGAGTTGCTGAAGGTCTCACCAAATTTCAAGGCTGGCCTCTAACTTGTGATCCTCCTACCTCAGTCTCCTGAGTCTCTGGGATTATGGCAATAAGAATTTCATTTAGTTGAGTCCTAGTTGAATGCTGGGGTGGGAAATGATATGTAAAAAGACACAAAGTTGATGTGAGTTAAATCTGAATTTCTCATTAAAACTATGCTGCAATGGGAGCTAAGGTCTTAAAAAAAGAGTCTAAACAAGTCTATTTGCTCAAATTTTAAAATATAAATTACAAAGGCAATCAAAAAAGATTTATAAAACTGGTTAATATAAATATTTTTAGTAGTCAATAAACAGAACAATATTCTAATCAAACATAAACAATTTAAAGTCATTTTGATATAAAGAATACTGGGAGCTTGGGCTGGGGATGTGGCTCAAGCGGTAATGCGCTTGCCTGGCATGCACGGGGCGCTGTGGGTTCGATCCTCAGCACCACATTAAAAAAATAAAATAAAGATGCTGTGTCCACAGAAAAAAATGAAAAATAAATATTAAAAAAATATTCTCTCTCTCTCTCTTCTCTCCCTCTCTCTTAAAAAAAAAAAAAAGAATACTGGGAGCTCTTTTGTATAAGAAGGAAAGTCTCTGAGGAATATGCTAAAGGATTTTGGAAATGTAAGTACATTAAAAAAAAAAGCAAGATAGAAAGATCTTAGGAAAAGGGTGGTGTCCGAGGTAAAGGACAGTGATGACTGCTGGAGGCAGAGCTGTGTGGAGAAGCTCAAGACGGCTTCCCAAGACTAGAGACAGGGCCTTCCAAGAACAGCTGCTGACAGGCACTAAAAAAAATAGTGATAGGTTCTTGTACATGTTTCAGCAAAGAGAATGAACAGGTTACGTAATTATAAAGAGAACAAGTGGGTCACCTATTTTAAAAGCTTTATTATTAACATTTAAATAATGACTGTGGTAAATGGATAATGATCCATTCAATCATCAAGTTAATGGCTGACTCAATGTGACTACCTGAGAATGGCTCGACTAACTAACGAGACCATATTTTATGATAAGCAACACTGAAAATTCATCTAACACCCATGATATCCTGTCCTTGTTGACTGACATCGTGGTAGAAAAGTGTCAGTTTTGTAAAATGTATTAGAACCAAACAAAAATTTAGGGAAGAAGAAAATCACACAAAGTAAGCATCTAAACATACAAAAACAGACAAAACATACAAAAACAAACACTAAAAAAGGACTTGGTTTCTCCTTAGGAACTTTCCTTTCTACAAAGATCCATCAGTGAGTGGAAAGCCAATACGTAAACAGGGAGACATAAAAAGGAACCAAGTGACTGGAGGTGTGGCTGCTGGCAAATGAAAAACAGAGTGGAAGGATTCCCAATATATTTTGGAATATGAGATAAAATTTGATGAGTTACATGCAGCAAGTGAGAAAGGTGGAGATGACTAGAATAACCCCTAGATCCTGGCTTGAGTACTAGCTGCTTAAAGACTCATGTAAAGAGATGAGAAAGGTAAGGGGAAGAGCAGGATTAGGGATGAGCTGAATAGCTGAGATTCAGACAGGGGAGTGTTTGACGCTTTGGAGACCATGAGAGGAAACATCAACCAGGCAGCTGGCTCTACTCCAGGTGTAGTTCCCAGAGCCTTGTAGAGCACCTGGCGGGTACTCAACAAATATGTACTAAATTTAAAAATAAACAAGAAAGACCTAATCCAGCTTTGCAATATATATATATATATATATATATATATATATATATATATATATATATATATTTTTTTTTTTTTGTCATAAAAATGTTTAGGGGCTGGCATTGTGGCTCAGTGGCAGAGTGCTTGCCTCACACATATGAAGCACTGGGTTCGATCCTCAGCACCACATAAAAATAAGTACATAAAATAAAGGTATTGTGTTCATCTACAACTAAAAAAATATTTTTAAAAATGTTTAATTGCGGGGATTGGGGTTGTGGCTCTGGGGTAGAGTGCTTGCCTAGCATGTATGAGGCACTGGGTTCGATCCTTAACAACACATTAAAACTAAACAAATAAAATAAAGGAATTGTCTCCATTAAAAAAAAATGTTTAATTGCAGTTGGGGTTGTGGCTCAGTGGTAGAGGTACTGGGCTCAATCCTCAGCACCATATAAAAATAAATAAAACAAAACAGAGGTAATATTTCCATCTACAACTAGAAAAAAAATTTTTAAATGTTTAATTGCTGTTGGCAAAGAGATAAAAATTTCATGAGAATGGAATATCTTTTACCACAATTGTATTTTAAAAAATATTCAAGAAGGTCATACAGTTGCTTTATAATCAAATCTAGAGGGTTGGGGATATAGCTTAGTTGGAAGTCTGCTTGCCTCGAATTCACAAGGCCCTGGGTTCAATCCCCAGTATCATACACACATACACACACAAAAAAAAAAAAATCCAGAAGCATAGATTTGTGTTGGGGGTGGGAGGTGGGGAGCTGCTGGTGATCAAACTCAGGCCTTTGTAGTGATAAGCAAGGACTCTACCACAGAGCTACAGTCCCAGGTATGTGTATGTGTACATGTGTGTGTGTGTGTGTGTAAGGGAGAAAAAAGGCACAGGAGATTATATGGCATTAGACTGAACCCTTCATTATTTGTAGCACCTCAGTATGGCAAGTCTTGAGGGAGCAAATTAAACTGCTAAGCAAATGTGAGACCACGAAAGCAAAAAATACCTGTATTGCATTTAAAATGTAAGTAATAATAATAAAAAGCATAATTTGTATACATGAACTATGGTTCTGGCAAAAAAGGAGTGTAGGGTAACATATAATAACACTCAATTTCTCATCCTAAAACTTTCTATAATCTAAAAGAAGGGTGACAATTCACAATAGCAAGTCTGTGGAACCAACCCAGATGCCCTTCAATGGATGAATGGATACAAAAAATGTGGCATTTATACACAATGGAGTATTACGCAGCACTAGAAAATGACAAAATCATGGAATTTGCAGGGAAATGGATGGCATTAGAGCAGATTATGCTAAGTGAAGCTAGCCAATCCCTAAAAAAACAAATGCCAAATGTCTTCTTTGATATAATGAGAGCAACTAAGAACAGAGCAGGGAGGAAGAGCAAGAGGAAAAGATTAACATTAAACAGAGACATGAGGTGGGAGGGAAAGGGAGAGAAAAGGGAAATTGCATGGAAATGGAAGGAGACCCTCACTGTTATACAAAATTACATATAAGAGGTTGTGAGGGAAAAGGGAAAAAAAAAAAAAACAAGGGAGAGAATTAAATTACAGCAGATGGGATAGAGAGAGAAGATGGGAGGGGAGGGGAGGGGGGATAGTAGAGGATAGGAAAGGTAGCAGAATACAACAATTACTAATATGGCATTATGTAAAAATGTGGATGTGTAACCGATGTGATTCTGCAATCTGTATACAGGGTAAAAATGGGAGTTTATAACCCACTTGAATCTAAAGTATGAAATATGATATGTCAAGAGCTTTGTAATGTTTTGAACAAACCAATAAAAAAAATAAAAGAAGGGTGATTCAGGATGAGATGAAGTCTAATTGAAAGGAAAAAAAAATCATAATCAGACTTCAACATTTAGAAATGTGGGCCAAATATCACAAATGAGGATGGCTATTCAAAGTGTCCTGAATTTAGAGAAATCACAATCTGAAACACAAATATTGATCACATGTGTTCAGATGTTAAGAGATGACAGTGAATCACAGGTAACAGTGCATATTGTTGGCAACATGATATCATGTCACAAATGTTACCAAGGATGCTCATTTTGAATGAATTTGCCAATCCTACCATTAAGTAACTCCCTCGTTCTCATTGCCTACCTGAGACTGTTGAGATCAAGGTCATCTGTATCAAAATCCAAAAGAGGTTGTGGAGTGTCACTTGGACCATGAGACTGCAACACAGATGAACTGGAGGATATGACTGTGGTTTGGCCTGAGGGGTGGATGGTTTTGAACTGGAACTGTGGACCCATCCACAGCCGTCTGTGGGGTCCAGTGTGTGTAACAATTTCAACCTGAAAAAGAGTTGGAATCATGATTTAAACAAATCACAACTAGAATTTGAGGGCCTTTCACAATACCTGAATCCCATATTCTTGAAGCCCATCTTGATGTGGGAAAGGGTCAGTGTACCCACAATCAAAGGTGATCATAGTTATAGCCTAAATACACATTCACTATATCCCTTTACTGGTTTTCACTGACATTATAAAAATTCATTTGTGTAAATACACACACACATGCATCACATACGCAATTCAAAAATTATGAAAGAGAAAAGACTAGTTTCTGGACTTATATAACTAATATTAGCTCCCTAGGGATTATCTTTTTTCATTCATTCTACACTACTTACCTTCTAGTGGGCATCCCTGGATACTATACCTACTAATCCACATATTAAAAGCAATTCCTTCACTCAACATCAAACTCATAAAGAAGTTGAAATTGTTCCTGAAACTTTACCTATCTCAAAATAAAAAATAAAAAAGACTGGGGATTTAGCTCAATGGTAAGCATCTGGATGTTCAATCCCCAGTACTCCCATCCAAAAAAAAAAAAAACCCAAACCCCCCAAAACACCCAGCAACTCAGGAGGCTAAGGCAGGAGGACCACAAGTTCAAGGAAAGTCTCAGCAACTCAGTGAAATCCTATCTCAAAATAAAAAATAAAAAGGGCTAGGGATAGGGCTAAGTGATAAAGCACTCCTGAGTTCAATCTCCACCAGTATTAGAAAGTAAAGGTCTGACATACTTTTTAACACCACAGCTAGTTTCTATAATTCAATATTATAATATTTATGCTGCTTTCAAATTTTAAAAAACCCTACTTTTAAATGGAAAATCATATGTATTTTCTCAAACTAAATTTCATATTCAAAATATTGTTATTTAATTAGTTTCCTCAACAGCCACAAACACTGACAGGCATTTTATGCACACACGCACATGCACACACACACACAAAAAAAAACATACATAGTAATACCAAAATACTTTATAAATTTCATCATCTATGAAATGGATAGGGAAATGTTGCCAATATTATCTTAAACACTGTAAAGAAAAAGCATATAGAAGACAATGTGCAAAACCTGAAAATGTGTGTATTTCATGGTTTTACAAACGATCAACTTGAATAAGAAACTAAATATGCAAACCTTTGGTGAAAAACTACTGTATTATCTCCAAGTCTTGTCATTGCTATATATGTATCTATGCAAACACTTTAGGGAGCGACTTCCCCCCATTCCTTGAATCTTTGCCCTGGTTCTTTTATATTTAATCACATTTCTCTGATTGCAGTGATTAATTCTTAACAAAACATAACTGAAAAGGTTCACAGAGTGTAGTTCTGTGTTTTTGAGTCTGAAAGGGCAAAAGCATCATGGTCTTGGAACAATATGCACATTCCCACTAATCACAGGGAGAAAAACACTGAGATTGAGGACAGTGATTTCTGATTCAAGTAGTTGTATTCAGCAATGTAAATTAGGCCACAGATAAAGCATTCTGTGTATTTTAAGCTCAGAACCATCAGTGTCACAGAGCCGAGAGGTAAACAGATGCCTGTGCAATCTCACTGAGGCGATGGCCAGATGTTCCTGTATTCCGCTCCTGTTGTGGGCAGGACAAACATATTGTATACACTTTCACACTGACAGCACACATTACCCCTTCTTCTAATTGAAAAGTTGAAGTGAAGGACAGTGGTTTCTTTGCCAGCATTCTTGGACAATATTTTGATTTTGGAAAAAGCATGTGCATTTTGGGTTTAATTTATCTTGTATCATCAAGAGAGGATGGGCTTTCATATGTCAGAATCTGAGCCTTCATTCAAGGAGATTCCCTTGAGTATTTGTGGTGTAATAAATTAAATAGATGTTACTTAGAAACTTCTTGATTCTCCAATTGCCAGATTCATTTTCACTTTTCAGGCTACCTTCCCTGAGAAAGAAATGAAACAACAAAGGGATTCCACTTTTTCTGAGGCATCTGTCTGATGCAAAGCTGCCAGATTGGTAATCTGAGACAGGTCATTAACTTCATCAAATGATGTCAGACTTGAGGCAGACATAACATTATTTGTAGTGAAATCACTTGTAATCTCATCATTTGACAACTGCCCATGTATCTTTTATTTCAAAGCTCCCGAGTTAAAGACAGCTCCAGTAAGGTACAGGACCTTCAGTTAAAGGACAGGTTTAGAGCACTACTTGAACTTAGGAAAGGAAACCTAGTCAGGCACCATCAGGATTTGTGCACAGTACAATGCTGAATTTCCATAATGAAAGTATGGGCCATCTTCAGAAAATGCTGGCTCTACAAAATGATTCCCAAACACTGTTGAATGGCTTCATTGTTTTAACAAGCAAAACTCTTACTTTAAATCTGATGAAAATGTGTTCCAAAGAGTCTGTCTAAAGTATAAGGTCTCAATGACCTTAAATGGACTGTTGGAAAGATATATACATTTTATGCTCTCTGTATTAAAGCTAACTCACATACACACACTCACTCTCTGTGTATATATATATGAACATAGATTCTTATATATGAAAGGAATGTTTATGTATAACACATGTATGTGCAAAATATAGAGGAATATGTGTGTATATACCTCAGGGAATATTTTTGATAAATTTTAAATATACAGAGAATGATTCATTCTTAATGATTCAACAAAGAATTACCAATTCTATAATTTTTGTCTAAGGAAAAGAATAAAAACAGACAATGGATTCCGTTTTATTTTAATGCTCCAAATATATCATTATTTTTACCTGCGAAAGCCATTCTTCATCTTCTTGTCCACTATGGTCAGATGCTAAACTGTCATAGGACCCATGTCGAGTGATGGGCCCAGGACTTCCAGGGGGAACCACTGTGGGAGAAAGAACACAGATTTCAACCACTTTAATTTATGCAGTGGAGAAATGGGTATGAATATAGCCAGCTCAAATACTGTGGTTATGTATAAGATAAAGATGACATTTAAAACACAGAGGCAACTCATACAACGAATGAATAAATAAAACTGAAGTTCCTAAGAATAAGAAAATTTTTCAATTAAGAGCATACTTTAAAAAGTATCTGTAGGGCTAGCCAGGTGTGCTGGCACAAGCCCGCAGCCCTAGCTACTTGTTGAGGCTAAGGCAGGAGGATCACTGAAGTCCACAAGGTTGAGACTAGCCTGGGCAACATAAGATGCCAGATTTTAAAAAAATGATATCTTATCACTATAAAATAAACAAACAACTAACTTCATATTAATATCAAAATGCATTGAGGAATAGCAACAAATCTATTCACTGGTGGACTACATTAAAAGTCTTTAGAAGAGCCAGGCATGGTGGTACATGCCTGTAACCTCAGCAACTTGGGAGGCTGAGGTAGGAGGACTACAGGAGGCTGAGGTTTGAGGCCAGTCTCATCACCTCAGCAAGGTCATAAGCAACATAGTGAGACTTATCTTAAAATTAAAAAAATAATAATAATAATTTTGGAATGTAACTCAGTGTTAAAGTACTCCCAGGTTCAATGTTCAGTACAAATTTTTTTTCCTTTTAAACAAACTACTTACCCATTAGTATCAACTAAATGGTGGGCATAAGAATGTAAATTTAATTAAAAACACTTTCAGTTGCTAAAATTTTTTTTATTTATCCAATATTTCACTTTCTTGGATATTTCAGTTTTCCCTGACTTTGACTCGGTAAGATATAGTCAAACTACAGTCTACTTTCTCATACAAAAAGAACATTTGCCTAGTGGAAACAGAAAAACAATTCAATAAATATAAATATTTTATCCTCCCAAATCTTAGCCTCTTCTTTGGAAGATCCACTCACTCATTCTATCCATCCATCTCTAAATGGACTTTATTTTGTCTAGAGCTGTTTTAGGTTCACATTCAAATAGAAATGAAAGTGCACAGATTTCCAATATACTCACTACCCCCATGTATCATTTTAATACTCTGAGAAATCAAGCAATGAAGTAATGAGAAAATGGAAAAAAATTAAAAGATGGGACAGCAACAGTAGGAAGAAAAGTAGAAGAGCATTAAAGAAATATGGACAAAATAAAAAAGAATGAGAAACAGAAAACAATCTCATCACTTGTACCATGCAATGATGCAGTATATACATGTATAGTCAAAAGTTTTCTTAGGCTAGATTCCTGAAAATGGAATCAGAGGATGTGAATGTTTTAAAATTTCTTCCTACATATTCCCAGAAAGAGCTATACACTTCCATGAGCAGTAAAGAAGGATGTCAATCTTAATGCAATCTTGACAGAACAAGGTATTTAGAACAAAATCTTAGGGAAACAGATACAAATGAAGAATACGCAGTATAACCTAGGGCAAGACTTAAAAGACACATGCTCACCAAAAGCTTATCTTAACTCCTTACAAGAGGAGAAATAGGACTGAGTTCAGTCAGTTACTCAGCAGATGTATACAGTGTTGAAATGAAGATCTGTGGTAGTTAAAACTGCTAGCTAGCTGCTACTTCTTCAAAATCATAGTTCTGTAACTGAGAGGCAAGCTGGGGTTCGGCACAAAACATAGATGACCATGAAGGGATACACCTTGTGATGGAAATGGTATCATAAGGCAGAGAATGTCATAATAATTATCAATTGTTATTTAAGCATTCTTGGAGAAATAATTATGGTATGTTTTACAAAGAATATAAGTCAACTGATGTTTTCAAAAGGCTGAGTTGTTCCCAAATCATCAATTTTATAATAAATTTGATATTAAATTATTAACAAAGATAGAAAGATAGGATCCCTCAAATCCCCAAAATTTGAGTAAATAGTCAAAAAGCTGAACAATGACAAATACCAAGTATTACAATGTGCTTCGGAAAGCAGATGAGCAAAGAAGATCTTTAAAGGTGGGAGTAAGTCATACAGATGTCTGAGGGTAAACTATTACAATGGCAAGATCAAGTACAAAGATTTTTGAGGTTGAAATATAATGGGGATATTTTAGTAAGAACTGTCATGCCATTGTGGTTGAGGGGGTGAGTCAGGTTGCAAGTGGAAGATGAGGGGCAGGGAGAGAGGCCAGTGGGTAGAAAAAGGGCTTTTATTTTGGGGGGCGGGGAGAGCAATAGGGATTTAACCCAGGGGAGTTTTGCAACTAAACTACATTCCCAGTCCGTTTTATTTTTATTTAAAACAGGGTTTTGCTAAGTTGCTTGAGTCCTCCCTAACTTGCTGAGGCTGACCTTGAATTTGCAATCCTCCTGCCTCAGCCTCCTGAGTCATTGGGATTATGTGTACACCAGCACACTTGATACTTTTTTCCTTCTTTTTTTTTTCCAAGTAAAATTTGAGTATTGTGACAGAACAGGATTACAAATCTTTAAGTAAAAGTGAGAAATTATGCCCCTGTGTATGTAATTAGTACCTACTAGAAATTCTCTAAGAGTGTATGCTGTGTTCCACATATATTAAGCCTAGACTAGGACCAATTACAGAATAATCATTCAATAAGTATTGTGAGTAGATGGTTGGAGTTTTGCATTCTGGACTAAGTAATGGCACCAGAATGACTGAACACTTATTTATCCATTATCAAAGTGGGGATAATATGACATCTGGGATTAGCTTCAAAATAACTTTGTGTCAGGGGTAAAGATGGTGAGTAGAATTATAAACTAAAAAAGATTAGCCATGAGTTGATTGGTAGTGAAGCTGAATGAGAGAAACATGGAGACTTATTCCACTATTGTTATCTAGTTTTGTGTATGTTTGGAATTTCCCACAGTGAAACGTTGGAGGAGGAGAAGGAGGAGAGGGAAAGGGGAGGATCCTTTCTGCCCTCATCTGCTTTCCAAAGGAAGCAGTAAATATTCCAAATATACATCTAAGAAATACAACCATAAATCTGAATCCCAAACTCCTAAACAGAGATTGGAAGAAGGATTTCCATGCCTTTCATTCACTAGTTTTCTAAGTAAAAATGTTTTGAAGTCATCAGAAAATGGGCAATATAAAAAATGTAAGTTCAGAGGGAAAATACTTTTCAACATCAAATAAAATCCTTCCCTTCTCCCCTACATACATTTATATTTAAATATTTCCCCCAATCCACATAGGAAGAACATTTTATACCTTGGGAAAATAATGATATAACAGGTCACAGGAAAAAATAATTTAAATCTTGAAACCGATGAGAATAAAAACCATCAAGAGAAAATATCAAGAGAAAAAGAGCTTGAATCCTCTCCAACCACCCAATTATTGGGAAATGATAACCCTAATACTAGAGCAAGAGTGTCAGAAACAGAAAGTGGGGAATAGAGGGCCCTCAAGAAAGAATAGAGAATGACAATCTGGGCGTTTCCTGGACCAACAGCCATGAAAAACTGAATCTTCATTCTTGAGTCTAAGAAAGTACCAAGAGATCCACACATATGGTACGTAGCACAGCCACAGTGGTGACAGCCACACAGTTCTCGCCCTGGTTTAGGTGAGAATGTTTCCTGTGTGTGAGAGAGAGTAATGCAGGCACACTCCAGAGAACTGACAGGATTTGAAGTAGAAACAAGAATGGATATTGCAGAAACCTATATGAGCCAGTGACTAGTGATCTCACTGGGAACTGGAACATCTCAATAGTGACAACCAGGATAAAATGTCCCCTAATCCCTTACCCCATAATATTATACTCTGTAAGTGCTACAGAATTTAGATGTAATTTTGGAAGGGGGCACAATCAATTGAGAGTACTTTTCCCCACATTTCTAATAAGTAGATATAAAAGGGAACTTAAAAGTCTATATAAAGGCTGGGTGCAGTGGCGCATGCTTGTAATCCCAGTGGCTCAGGAGGCTGAGGCAGGAGAATCGTGAGTTCAAAGCCAGCCTCAGCAAAAGCAAGGCACTAAGCAACTCCGTGAGACCCTGTCTCTAAATAAAATACAAAATAGGGCTGCAGATGTGACTCAGTGGTCAAGTGCCCCTGAGTTCAATCCCTGGTACCCCCCCTCCCCCCAAAAAAGTCTATATAAAGAAAAATGCTTATGTTCAAATACAATGGAGCAAGACACACAGCAGCTACCTAAATCAGCATTTTTATGAAACTTTATCAACTATTCATAGGTAATTAATTAAGTTGGTAATAGAAAGGGATATAGAATTTTGAGGTATAAATCCTGCTATGTTTTATCTCTACTTTCAGCACAGTAATTTAAAATGCACCTTATCTACCTACCTAAAAAGGATATACCATCAATTTATTTTAGAATGTAACTCCAAAAGTGCTTCCAGTAGGCATCTGATAAATAGAGATCAACCAGGAAGGGCAGGATACAGGATCATCATGAGGTAACTGGGAAACAGACTGTTTACACTGTGTGCTCAGGAAAGCAGATGATGCTTACAGTGAGTAAATAAGAGCTAAAAAAATCACTATGTGTATTTTTCTGTCTTGCAGTGATAAATGGGTGTATGCGCGTATGTGTGTATTGCTATGTATATATTTGTGTCTTTTCATATGTGTTTATGTATAAAGACAACAAAAATTAAGCTGCTTCAGGGATGACCTTCACAAACTAGTCCTGTTAATCTAAGCCCAATATACTTTGAAATCAACAGAATAACATAAATAGGATTGTAAAGAGAAAAATTAAATGTTTCCCTAATAATGTCACTAAATCTGAATTCCATATAATAAAATTCTCAAAATTCCAGAAAGTTCTTTCAAAATATAACTTTCTAACTCTTGAAAAAAAATTATGGATAATTCCTTTTTGGGATTTTTAGATGTCTTCTGTACTATAACCATGAATGCATATAGAATTTTTTTAATTGCCCCATATAAAAATAAGTATTTATTCTCTTTTATTGCTGAGTCATATTCCAT